CTATCCCCTTCCTTCCCTGCTCCTCCTGCTGCTCTGCACAGTCTCTCTGATGGCCAGCCTGTCCCAGCCCGGATATGGCTCGTGGACAGCATAAGATTCAGTCTCAGCAGAAAAATGCCTAAAAGCAAGTTGGACAAAAGAAGAAACAAGGCCATGACCAGAAGGCTGCTGCACAGTCTGTAGGACACAAATGCCAGACCCCAAGACCTTCAAGCAGCACTTTGAAAGTAAGCATCCCAAGGCACCACTTCCTCCAGAACTGGCTGATATTCCGGCATAAAGTTGTTTACAGGTGAATTCATGACACCTTTGACTCTCCTACTGTCTCAGACCTTAGGGTAGGGTAACAAACCTGCAGTTGCTTTTTTAAACAAACTGTTGATTAGCAAAAATAAAGGGGCTACAGAAACACTCATTTTTATGCTGTTCCCTTTTGGGCTTCATGCAAAGACAATTCTGTGTAAATGTACAGCTGACTCTGATTTGGAAATCTGAAAAATCAGTCCATCCTTGTTATAAAAATTTTTTTATAATTGTAATTATATTGATGTTCATATTGTATAAAACAACTCATCTAATAAAGTAGTGCTTTGATTTAAAACACACACACATTTAAAATTCCATTTTACCCCAGTCAGACTGGCAAAAATCAAGATAACGAAAAACTCCAAATGCTGGAGAGGATGTGGAGAAAGAGGAACGCTCATTTGCTGCTGGTGGGAATGCAAACTTATGCAACCATTATGAAGTAGTATAGAGATCCCTCAAAAACCTAAAAATGAACCTACCATATGATTCAATTATACCACTCCTTGGCATATATCCAAAGGACTCATTATACTGTAGAGATACCTATACATCCATTTGTTGCTATTTTCACAACAGCTTAGAAATGGAAACAACTAAAATGTCCCATAACTGACAAATGGTTAATGAAAATGTGGTACATCTACACAATGGAGTAGAAATGCAGTAAAAGATGAAATTATGAAATTTGCAGGGAAATGAATGGAGCTAGAGAGTTATACAAAGTGAAGTCACACAAACGCAGAAAAGCAAGCAACGTATATGCTCCCTCATTTTTGGATTGTAGCACCAAAGCCTTACATGTGAGTATATAAATTCTGATATAATACCAGGTGCCAGGCAAAGGGAAAGGATACATGGAGGTAAAGGAAAAGAAAGAACCTGAAAGGGGGATAGCAGGGAACAGATGTTATCTGAGGGAAAGGAAAAAGTGGGAGTAATCAGTAGGGAGGAGAGGAGAGAGGGACATGGAAGAGGCCATGGTGCAGGGGAGGGTGGAAAATCAGAAGAGGAAGGATGGGGGTAATCAGGAGGTACTGGGGGAGGGTGGGGATAATGGGGCCACTGTGACTAGAGAGAGGAGGGAAGCCAGATGGGAGAAAAGAGGGAAAAGTGATGTCCTCGAAACCCTATGAGAAATGCACATACAGTGTCTGAACATTAATGCATTTGTATATCTGGGAGCTGCTTGGCAGGGAATGTAGTGCCAGACAGAAGAGACCTCCCTTAGAGTGGTAGGTGGAGATGGTCCAGGAGACTCCTAAAGTAACACAGGATATTGCCAAACCTCTTGGTTATTTCCCAGAACAAGTAGATAAAACCCTGCTGTTGAGGAAAGGGCATACTTGGGGTACCAGACTTGAAAAAATGGAGCGGGAACTGACTTTCCAACAGACGTTTGGCTGTCATAACGCTAGATGATGATGATATGCAAACTGCCAAGGGAGAATAACAATCAATGGTCCATCCCAGCCCTGAAGCCTAATAACCAAGGCTACCAGCATGGCAAACTACCTCTATTGGTGCAGTAGTGGCACTGTTATCTGGGGGGTGCAGAGGGGCATATACCCAAAAAACAGCTATCTAATTGGACTCAAAGCCCTCTCAATGGGAGGAATCTCATGGGTGGCTCTGTAACTCAGCCAAATACACAAAGCAGGAGAGGACATAGATCCTGGAGGAAACCCTATCTCTTCCATATCTCAAAACAAATGAAACTTGTTACTATATGCTAAATAGCGATCCTTATACTTACAGAGAAGCATGCTGTATAGCACTTATCAAAGAAACTTCTTTTTTGCAACAGATGGAGGCTACTGCAGAGTTGCACATCTGGTTAGACACAGAGAACGTAAGTCTGGGAGACACTCAGGTGACACATCTGCAGCTAGATCTCTACAACTAAGTCTCATGGAACATAGTGGAATAAGAGGTAGAGAGAGGGCTAATCCACCCCTCAACTCTCACCAGTGACGCTTCCTTGTACAGCAGAGTGCAATGCACACAGAAGGCCACAACTGGCCAAGTTTGGAGAATAAGAAACTGGAGGTTCCTATATGGAACCTTACACACCCACAGCTCAGGGACCATTATGGAAGAGGAGGTGGGAAGATTATAAGAGCCAGGGCTGGTTCATGAACACAGGGAGGTGGTGGCTTCCAGGCCACTGGAGGCTTGCTCATGTGAGCCTGTGGCACTGGTGTAGTCGAGCGCTGACTAGACTCCAGTGATGCATTTACAATTGAAGGACATTTGGGTACAAACACCTGAACGTATAGGACTTGGCATGTATGGCAGAGTGCATGGGGTTTGGCGGGGGGGATGGGGGAGGAGATCTAGATTTGATTGGGAAATGTATGAAATTTAAAAAGCTCAATAATAAAAAAAAAAAAATTAGAGGAGTTAATAGTGGCCAAAAAAAAAAAAAAAAACCAAAACACAGAGCACTTTAAAGAACAATGTAAGTGGTTTCATTGTAGAAATCACAATTCCCTACAGGAAGAATGACAAGAAACATAATTTAATGTTTTTACAATGGGTAATTCATTATTTTCTTCAAAAACTCAAGACAAGAAGTCAACAGGCTTTGGAAAACTTGTAGGTGCAAAATGTTATGGATAAATGTAAATATAATGAATAAAACACAGAAGTAGAAATAGCATTTCATATAATTTAAACATGCAAGTTTAATTATATAAATGAATCTAGAGTCAAATCCTCAACAAATTTGTTTAAAAAAATCCTGCGGCTGTCTTTGGGCAACATCTAGTATTACTGCTCCAAACAAAAGTGCCAAAAACTCTAGAAATCACATTAGACCAAAGATTCAGACTCTGTACCAGTGACCTTTAAGGGTGGGAAATTCAGTTAGGAGGACTGTTCTGTGCATGATAGCATGTCTAACTTCATCTTTGTCTTAGTAAATACACTAGCAATCTCCTCTTCCATGAAAAATGTCTCTATTGGAAAATGTCCGTGGTGGGGGCGGGGGGTGGGGAGCAAAAATCACTTTGAGAAACAAAGCACTAGACAAATCCTATGTCCAACTCTCCATATCCAGGTAAGTAGTTTCTACATTTTTCTTGATGTCCTATTTTCCTTCAAATTATCTGGTATCTATTGCAGAAGTACTCAGTTACTGTTACTATTACCATTACCCATATTTTTTCTCCATTAGATATTTAATATGACCATTGCACATAGCTGTTACTAAGTAAATCCCACTTACAAATACTTCCAAAGGGCTCCTAGAACCCAACCCTTAAAAAATAAAGCTATTGAGTCATCATCAGAGCTTGGATGTTACTCCACAAAAGTGCAGAATTAGACTGACACTACTTACCCATCTTCTGAGTACTTTTGTTTTGCTCAGACTTTTCTTTTCCTCCCAATAGCAACTTAAATTACTAGTACTGAAAAAAAAGATGGTCAACAGCAGACATTAAAGTTTTCTTCTTTGTAATCCTCTGGATGCAAAATGCTAAAATTAATTTATAGTCTCTGAACTCTTATAGGATGGAAAGAAAACTATGAACATATAATTACTTAAAGAATTTGGACAAAGACTAAATACTCATTAAACTCAATGTAGACTATAATTTTCAAATACTTACAGGCTGATATATTTGTATCCACACAATAATTAAATACAAAACAGAAAAACTCTCAATTTCTAAGTGTATAGTTCAAAAGAATCTCTTTATTAAGCCTGATATAGCAGCATACATTTTTAAAATAAAAATACAAAAAAATCCTGGAAGGATTGTCACCAAAAAATGTAATCGAGGTTTTTTTTTTTTTTTTCCCTTTATTTTTCTAAATCCTCTTTTTGAATTATTATCATAATAAATGACTTTTAGCTTCAAGCAAATTCTTTTTCATTTTTCCTTTTTACACAAATTTTATCAGCTTACAGATATCAGTTAAGATCTAGCCAACTGCTGACACATGTCCTGAGTTTTCCTTCCAAGTATCCTAAGCTTTACTATGGTAATTTTTAGAAAAGGCAGAGTTTTATTAACCAGAGTTAAAATATGACCTTTGATAGTCTTGGTTTTAGCTTCAAGCAAATTCTTTTTCATTTTTCCTTTTTACACAAATTTTATCAGCTTACAGATATCAGTTAAGATCTAGCCAACTGCTGACACATGTCCTGAGTTTTCCTTCCAAGTATCCTAAGCTTTACTATGGTAATTTTTAGAAAAGGCAGAGTTTTATTAACCAGAGTTAAAATATGACCTTTGATAGTCTTGGTTTTAGAGGAAAACTGCATACAAAGCTGTTTTATAATTAGTTCTTGAGTTAGAAAGTGAATATATCCTATGCTGCACAAGACAAACCATAGTTCTTACCTTTCAATTTTCTGGTTTAAAAAGAACTATTGAAGTCCTTCTTAAGAGGATACTCATTTACATTTTTAAATGACCACTTGTATATTCTGTGAAAATTCAGATTTTAATTACTGACAATTCTAGCAATGGCAAAGCTGAATCTCACTCTAGTATTAAATTTAAAAAAAATAACAAACGTTAAGACTGCAAATGTCTAACCTGGTAAAAATGAGATTATGTTCCAATCAAGAGCATACTATCTAAAAGATAATTCTGCTATCTAGTCAAGCAAGTTTCTCATTACACTTCTGTGGTCCCTAAATGTTCAGAATATAGCATTCACATAATACTATAGCCCATGAAAAGAGTATATTCTTTTATTGATTTTTTTTAGTTCATACATATTGTTTCAACTTTCAATAATAAAATTCAATAAATTTGATTGCTTAATCATAAAAACTTGCTGTACACATTATTTACATGTTGCCAAAGTCTACAGCCATACCAAACATCACAAGGATTTAAACAACTCTAAGCATGAGACCATCGCACAGAAGGGAGCTAATTAACATACATTCAAAAGGTAAATCATAGATATGCACAGTGTATTTGGCACTGTTCAGGATTTATAACATTTTCTTGTCGAAACAGGCATACTTAAGCTTTAGTCACAACACACCAGAATTTGCTATTCACATTAAAATCGGCTTTCAACTTCACAAAAATAACCAGTCAGATGCACGATCCACAGCCAGACTTGGGAATGGACTTCAAACCCTCCAACTCTATGCACTCCAAACTGCCATCTGTAAGGAGATTTAATTTGGTAGTTTTTTCATTATGGGGAGCATTGAGAAGAAACAATTTAAAGAATATCCTTCAATACACGTGAAAATACACAATTCTCTTTAAAATTTCCATTGCTTGGGAGTTTTGATGATGGACAAACTGTGATGATCTTGGCAGGAATTAGAGAAAGACTAATGCCATTCAAGTTGTAGGGACTGCACTAGCAGTTGAACTCTGTAAGATTCTGGTTCCTAAATTTGAATTCAAAAGCCTTAGTTATCTGTTTAAGTCTCTCTTCCTTGGACTACAACAGATTTAGGTCATGGGCTATAGACCTGTTTTGCTGTGCATGTACTAGTAAGAAATGGAAAGGAGATACAAAAACTCAACAGTTTAGGGACTTTGGTGCTAGGCCAATGGGTAATTTCTTTAACATCATTTTAACAAACCTTAAATTCCTTTATTTAATTAAGTCTATTAAACTTAACTCTCAAAAGCTGTACCTATCCCACAATATCTATAAATGACATTTATATCTACCATGTTAATGAAAAACATTGTCTCAAATTATCCTCTTGGGGGTGGTGGGGGGCGGCGACAATGGGACATGGGCCACAGTACAAGGGAACAGAAATGGGAAATTCTCTAATAACGTTTAGATATGCTGTAGCTTCGCACAAAATTTTGGCAATAAATTAAGACTTTTAAAAAATTCATACAAAAAACTGAAGTGCAAAGTAATGTCACTGGACAAATTTTACTTTAATCATTTTTATTTCAAGTATTTTAAAAATCATAAACGGGGTTTTATAATCCAAAGTTGAAACATTTATTCGTCACTTTAGAATCTGACAAGTCATTCCAGACCACTTTCCAAATTCAATCTTCTTTGCTATTTTTCAGATTTCTGAGGCCTAGTATTTAAACTACTCTATTCTGAATGTACATAACTCTTGTACACTTGTTAAAGAGTTTTTATGAATATTAACCATCAAATATGAAGAATGGTTTTCATCCAAGGATTAGCAGTATGGGAAAATATTAAACATCCACCAAGAAATCACTTACTTTAAAAATAACAGAATGAGTTCTCTATCACATAAGAGAACACGAAGGATTAAGTTAAATTATTTTTACAGACTTCAGCAATACAGGCCTCAATCCTACTTAATCATTTATGCAACGTCACCTTGAGATTTACTAAAGGGAAAAAAAATTCCAGGTTTTACTCAAAAGAGGAACAGGTTACTTTTGAGGAAAAGAGCTGCCTTGGTGACTTTTCTCAAATGTTTAAATAAAAAGTTAATGGAAATATTTTTTAAACCAGTTTTGTGTACTATAAGCAGACTGCTCATCACACAAACAAGAAAATCAAGACGCACTTTAGGAAATTTTCATTTAAGATTTTAAGTTATTCAACTTTTTTGTTTTTTGACTGCCTAATTATTTAAAATTTTTATATTCTATACTTCAATATTTTCTTTTTCAAATGTTCTGGGTTTCTTTGTAACCCAGAACACAAACATCAGAGCAACACTCTCAAGTCACATTACTTTCTATAACGAAGAAATGAAAAGGGATGGAAATCTGAAGATATCTCTCTGCTCTGAAAGTAAGCAAGCTTTCAGTATGTGAACACAGAATTCCACTCCTCTGAAGTCCCTCAAAATGAGGATACTTCCATTTAATAAGTCAATATATTATTCATAAAAATTAAAGTTTGGTCACTAGGAAAGACTGAAAAAAAATGACCTCCATCCCCCTACCCCCAGACAATTAAAACAGCTTTAATCACTCCCTCTACTCCCACAAAAACGGGAAGTAGCAGGAGCTGAAGCCTTTAAATCTGAAATCTCAGCTCTGAAAACATTGCTGTTATTTGCTCAAAACTACAAGCCTATGTACTCCATTCCCCAATGCGTCCCCATTTATAAGTTTATTTCCATACGCACGCACACGCACGCACGCACGCGCACACACACACACAACACACACACTCATTCTCAAGTAAGACACTTTTTTGTGTTTGTTGATAAATTATGAGGAATATGATCTAGGTGTATACAGGGTTTTACAGGTGTTTTGTAAACATCAGAGTCACTTGGGTCCTTTTCTCCAAAAGCCTGAAATTAAATTATGCAGCCAGGAATCACTACTTTCCCAGACGCTGTTCACAAGCTGCATATTGACGAAGGGCAGAGAAAAAGTCCTCATAACTGATGTTTAGGTGGGAAGGCAAAGATCTGGAAAGAAAACACAAGGGGAAAAAAACAGTTAGATGACACTCTGTAATTTGGTGGAGGAAATTGGAGAATGATGACCAAAAAGAGGTTAAGGGCAGAGAAAAGTAAATTATAAACAGAATATGACAATCTTCTCATAAAACTTTCAAACTCATTGAGACAGTTCAAGCAAAAAATAATCTGCCCTCTCTATAAAAGAAAAGCCACCTACAGTGAGTTAGACTCACAATCTATTAAATCTATGTATTAAGGATCTACTCAAATTCACATTAAGAACTCTGAGTGGTCATAGCAAAGCCAATACTCTTTAACGGTTTCTGAAAGCCAGGCTTAATATCAGCCAGAGAACTGCACTATACTCACACATAGTGACACAGTGAGCGGCCAATAAATGACCATGTAACACCACTACCAACTGCTAAGGGAACATTTACACTGTGAAGCTCGCTAAAGATAAAGTGAACACACAACTAGAAGGTTCCCTTTATTTAAAATACTTGAAATAATTTTTCAATAATTAATATAAAAAAATCTCTAATTTACACAGCTTCATAACAAGGTTTAGAAATTCCAAGTTGTAACAGAGCCAAAGACATGGTCAGGTTACGAGAGTCACATTCAGAGTTCCAGTCACATGAATCACAAAAAGAAAAAAAAAGAAAAAAACCCTACTATGAAAGAGCTCCTACTAGCCCCTGTGCTGCTCTTCAGCTATGGCTTCCTCCGACAGCCAGGAATTCTGAAGCAAAAAACCAACTTCCTGAGTCCTCATCATCGCCTAACATCAAATAATAACCATCTCTACTGGTGACCTTGGTTTACTCACTCTATTCAAATGATGATCCTCAGGACACATTTAATGACATTCTTACCAAAGCTTGCTTCATGTTCCCCTCAACCCCCCACCTTCCTGTCTTCCACATTTTCTCAACTGGCCCACCTACCACTCTTCAAAAAGCACTGCAGCCACTACCCTCAGGGCCTCTGAAGCTCCCTTCCTGCTCCTTAGAGGGCCTATCTTAGGACAAGAGATGCCTTCTGACATCACAGTGCTCAGTCTGGTAGACAGTACAAAAATACAAACAAAACTCAACAAAATGTGAGAGCTATGAAAGACATATGGACACAGGAATATGGATAGCCTATTCTGCACCAGTTATCTGTCACCTGTGATGTTTAAATCCTAAATGCTTCATTAAAATGTCCATTTAAAAATTAAAGGTTAATTAAATTCCCAAAGCCACATTACTGAGCTACAGTCAAGCCTCAAGATCTACCTGCTGTCAAACAGTCTTTTCTCTAAACCACCTCTCAACTTCTTAGTACCTGAAGGACACCTGAAATAATCTCTCAGAAACACTCGAATTCTTCCAGTCAATTTAGCTTAAACTTAGGAGGCATTTCATTTCTTAAGTTTTATCACAGTAAGTAAAGTGCTAGGCTGAAATCATACTTGGTAAATTCTTTTCATGGCACATAGGATTTGTAGCACTTTTCCATCCACAATGTAGAATTTCAACATACTTAAGGCTATTAAGTCTCTCCTTTATTCTAAATCAGGGGTCAACAAGCAGTCTGTCTTTTGTTTGTTTTCAAGAATTTCTTTCACTTTTAGCTCAGAACTTACAACGTAGCCCAGCTGGCTTTGACATTCTGTTCCTCCTGCCTCAGCCTCTCAGGAGCAGGAATGACAGGCATGAACCACCATGCCAACTTAACAAGCCATTTTATAAGTAACAGTAATAGCCTGTTGTTAATGGACTGTTTGCAGTTACTTAGTTGCACTCAGTCAGCCAACTGTAAGAGTGAAAGACAGCAGGAAAACACTGTATAACCTGAAAAACCTAAGATATTATCTGGCCCTTTCAGAAAAAGTTTATAAACCCTGTCTAAATAAGTCACTTTCACTTGGGAGGCAGAGGCAGGTGAATCTCTGTGAGTTCAAAGCTAACCTGGCCTACATAGTAGGACAGTTAAGGTACATAGTGAGACCCTGTCTCAAAAACAAAACAAAACAATAAGAAATTTCATTTTCTTTACTGTGCTCTTCCCAAAATTATGACTACAGCCTCTTCAACTGCCTTTTTATTTCATCCTTTCTCCAATCCAATTCAGTCTGATCATTCCAGCCAAATAAATCTTCTGAGGTCACCACTGCTCTATCATCCACTAAGTCCCACTTTTATTCTAAATACAAAATTTCTCTCAATATCATATACCTGGATGATTCATATTTTTTCAGTAGAATCAACAACTCCAGCTCTCAGATAGTGCTTATCGATGAGCCCCTAAGATAATCTGTGTCAACGCCCAACATCTATCTGCACAATCATACTGTATTCTGTCTAATTCATTTCCACAACTTCATTTTGCCAGTCAGGAGCACAGTCTTTGGGAGCTCCCATATCAGGTCTAGTACAGTGCTAGGCTCCAGGAACAAAGACAGTACGCTTTTAGTTACTTACATGATCTCAGTCAATCTGATTTGCCAGGGAAGAAAGCCTAATGTGCTGTCCACAGGACCAAACTTCAATACTAAATCAGGATCAGGGAAACCATGTGACTCTTGGAAATAAAGACATACACGTGAAATTAACATATACCATTCACATTTAAAAAAAAAAAAGGGCAAAAATCTGCCAGTTAAAATGGCTTTACATATACATATTCCCTTCAGCTTTAGCAGTATGTTTCCACTCCTGCCCCCGCCCCCCACAAACCCCATTTGTCAACTTTAATATCTATGTTCATTCCAAATGTGGAAAGTTTCTCAAAAGCCCATTTATCTGTACTGATTACCAAATAAAGAAGGTAACGTAACTCTTACCCTAAAGCCTCTTTGTTTTTTAAGTGTTCTATTGGTGCCCTGGGAAAGGTACTATTCGTGGGGTATAATTGCTGATACTGACTCCAGAAATGAGTGACTTTAGAAATGAAAAAGTTCTTTAAGGGGATCTATCTGGGGCTGGATAGATGCCCCAGTAGTTTAAGAGCACTGACTGTTCTTACAGAGAACCCAGGTTTGGTTCCCAGCACCCACATGGCAGTTGAAAATAATCTGTAACTCCAGTTCCAGGAAATCTGATGCCCTCTTTTGACCACAATTGCCTGACACAGGTATACTTACATACATGCAGGCAAAACACTCAACATACAGAATAAAATGTTTTGAAAAATAATCTAAAACGTATCCAGTTCCTTCTTTCTTTCTATTCTATCATAGAGAAGTACCCCGAAATCCAATTCCTTGCTATACAGTACAAATGTTTTCAGGGTTCCATAGAGTCCAAGCAGCCTTAAGGAGGAAATGGAGAATGTACCCTGGTCTCAATAAGTACATGTTCATTTTTAAAAATATTTTATTATTTTTATTTTCTGTGTATGAGTGTATTGCCTGCATGTGAGTGCACCCATGTCGTGCAATGCCACGGAGGTCAGAAGAGGGCTTTGGATTCCCCTGGAACTGGAGTAAAGGAGGGTTTGCAGCCTCCCTGTGGGTGCTGGGAATCAAACCCGGGTCCTCTGCAAGAACAGTCAGTGCTCTTAACCGCTGAGCCATCTCTCCAGCCCCGTACATTTTTTATCTCTATTAACAACAGACCTGCCTTGGGAGAAGGAAAAAATAAAAAACAAAAAAGTTATGTGCAGTTTCAACTATTTAAAATAAAGTTTGAAGGCATTGGTATAACAGACAGGATACTATAATCCAAGAGATCCACATTCTAACAGTTTCCAATATCCTCAGTTCTGTCACAACATTCTTGTCACGCAGTCTATCCAAGGCTCAGTTCTTCAATGTCAGGTAAAGAGATCAGGGCTGGGGATTGGTCAGTGATGGTAGAGTGAAAGCTCCAGAACTGATCCCCAACACTGAAACTAAAAGGGGGTTATAGGGGTAAAAGTAAGGAGACTGGATTAGGCAGGCCTGTCCAGCAATAGTACTGAGAAATTATTTCCATGATTAAGTCACTTTAAAAGTTCTACTGGACATATATGGAAAACATTGTAATAAGACCCACTGTTGTGTATCCCAACTTTAAAACAAAATTTTTTTTAAATCCATGTTCCTAGAACAAATCAACTACACAGAACACACATTCCTCTGCCACCTACAAAGCAATTCTCTTCAGTAAAAAAACGGTAAGAAAACTCCTGAGGTGAAGCTGACAAGTCCTCTCCATAAAAAAAAAAAAAAAAGTTAAAATAGCTAAACAAAAGCAGGCTTTCAAAGGCTGTGAATACTGGCCAAAGGCAGGTGATTATCATTTAAAAGCACAAAAGATAAAAACTAACCGGTGTGTGAGCTAAGAACACCAAGAGTCTATAGCCTTCCTGTCTGGGACTGCTCCCAACCCACACACCTCTGCCCCTAATCAATTGTGAAGAGTAGCACTTTATAGAACACATAGCTAAGAGCACACATGTGGTATGGCCTCCTATTGCTCAATGACATGGGCAGAAATTACAGTTGAAAGATACAGGCAGCAGGAAGAGAACAATGACACTCCATTGTCTGCAAGCTCCAAGCAGGAAATCCAAAGAGGGAGGAAAACTCACAGCTTTATTGGTCTGAGGTGCTACCAGCTCAGTGGCCTGATACCTAACAGGAAGATTCTAGAAGGGAAGGCTCACATAAAATCCTGTATATCTATGGCTAACTGGGAAACTATTCAAGAATGAGGGACAAAATAAGGGGCTAGGGTACAGGAAAAACTACAAAGCAAAAGCTAAAAAGATTTGAGAACTAGTATCAATATAAAGTGCACTTTCAGGGGGCTGGAGAGATGGCTCAGCAGTTAAGAGCACTGGCTGCTCTTGCGGAGGACCTGGGTTCAATTCCCAGCACCCACATGGCAGCTAACAACCATTCCATAACTCCAGTTCCAGGATATCTGACGCCCTCTTCTGACCTCTGTGGGCATTGCACAACACAAATATACATGCAGGTAATACACTCATACACATAAAATAAAAATAAAGTACTAAAAGATTTAAAAATAAAGTGCACTTTCAAGTTCCACGCAGATCACTTAAGTCTTACAAACTTAAGGTGCCTGAGTACAGCCTGCAAGCAAGTCCCAGGTGACCACTAGACAGACTTAGACTGACAGAGGAAGCCAGACTAAAATATATAAAAACAGGCACGACTGGAAATCATGTTAAGTGAAATAAATCAGGCTCAGAAAGACAAGACCACATGCTTTCATTCCTATTTATGTGTGTCTTTGTAGGTCCCAAAACTACAAAGGGAATTACGAGAGAGGAGGAGATTCTCATGGAGATGCAAAATGCAGAAAGTACTGAAACACATGTAGTAAGAAAGTAGAAAGTGAGACTGACTGGGGAAAGAAAGGGAACCAGCTGGAGAAAGGGGAGGGCCTGAGGGCGGGCAGTAGGGGAAGGGAGCAGATGAGAACAAAGACACAGTATGACGATGCCATGATGAAACCCATTACTTTCTATGATAACCTAATATTAATGTAAAAAATACCTCTAGGGGCATGAAGAGATAGCTTGGTAAAGAGCACTGGATGCTCTTGCATAAGACCGGGGTTCACTTCCCAGCACCCACATGGTGGCTCACAACCATCTATAACTCCAGTTCCAGGTGATCTGATGCCCTCTTTTGGCCTCCATGGGCACCGGCACACACATGATGCACATACATACATACATACATACATACATACATACATGCAGGCAAAACATGCATATGCCCAAAAGAAAAATAAACAAATTTTTTTAAATTAATTTATTTTTTTACTTTATGTGTACACATAATAGTATTGCCTGCATGTAGGTAAGTGCACCCCTGTCGTGCAATGCCCACAGAGGTCAGAAGAGGCTGTCAGATCCCCTGGGACTGGAGTTACAGACAGTTGTTAGCTGCCATGTGGGTTCTGGGATTCAAACCCAGGCCTTCTGCAAGAACAACCGATGTTCTTAACCACTAAGCCATTTCTCCAGGCCCTCAAAAGAAATAAATCTTTAAAAAAGAGATATCACCATATAAAATTGTGACTAGTCACAGCAGTGTAGTCATCTTCATTCATAGACAATATGACTTCATATTTAGGAAATGTTATACCTCTCCAAAAAGAGCAAGTGAATTTTAGCAAGGTTGTAGGATACAGAATCAGTATTACAAAACAATTATGTTTTTGAGTACTATTAACTGAAAACAACGACAAAATTAAATTTCAGAATTACAAGGGATATAGTAAAAACCAATGAAAAGAACCTAAATATTCTCTTTCATCTGTATCTTTGGGGGGACAAAATTGAAAACATGTATGACTTACTAAGTAAACCTTCTAACATATCTACATCCAATTCTGTGGATTTCTTCTGCTGCTGGGCTACTAAGTGGCAAAAGTCCTGAGCAGCTCTCACAATATCTGCTTTTCCATCTTCTGGAGACAGCACCCTCACTGCTGAAGGGCAATTTAAAACTAGAAGAAAAACAACAGACAAGATAGTTTTTAAAACACACTCTTCAACATTTCTTTCAAAATCAGTTTTATGAAATAGTAGAATCAGACCAAAATCACATCTATGTGTTCTCATAGACTGCCTTCTCCACATCCTAAAAATAACCTTGTATTATGAGTAAACCTTCTACAAAATAGGAATTTTAATTATAGGTTAGCTACAAGTTTTACTTACCTAAAAATTCCATCTGTAATCATAACACAATTCGGTGTAACATAAGAGAAAAAAGTAAAGACTAGAATAAAAACTGTGTTGCAATGGAATATAGGTATACTATTTATATACCTTATCTGAGTCTAGAGGAGTTACTTTATAACTAATAATAATAGTAGACAACTGAAAATGGGAAATTATTATCTATAGACATGTCCTTTCTAGACAGGTAGAGTTTCTATTATCTTTCCTATTATTCGACAGAAAAACCAGTTTTGCCTTTATCTACATACTCACTTAATTTATTGATGTATAAATTTATCTATTCTTTGGCTTCTCTGTTAAGTCAATTATAAAATCTGGTTAAATAAAATCTTTAACACAGGTTTATTTTCTATAATTTGAATTGTTATTTTCTTCTGAAAATTATCTTTTAGCCAGATAACTTATCGACAGTAAGACTAATAGAGCAAAATGAATGACAAAAATCTGCCCTGAAATGCAAACTCTCATCTTGCCACATTACATATCCAATTCATTACATATTCAATTCAATCCCATGCACGCTTACCTTGATCATCTTTGTCATTACTATTTGCAAACTCTGGTGAGTATTTGGAACAATCTAGGCCCAAAAGTTCCTGCTGTTGTTTCAAAATTTCATCCATCAATCTGGAATTATTTCTCTTGAAAATACCTTAAGAAGAAAATTAAAAGCAAAGAATCACATCGAGGCTAGCTCACATTCTTCAATGAGTCATGGATGCTTGACATGGATACACCGCCAGACCCCAACCTGAATGTATTTCAAATAAAGCAGTAATGACTAATCACAAACTAGATTTAAATACCAGTCAAAAAAAGGACAAAGGTCAGCTACTTTGTAGTGATGTGAGAGGACAAACACTTAGATCTAAAAAGAAATTTTAAGAACTCTTTCACTTGAAGCCTTTATTTACAGATTCAGAAACTGAAATGCTTCAGTGTCCTGAAGGGGCTTGTTCAAGAATTTTTCTGCTCCTGATTCCTAGTCTAAGCTATCTTCTCTGCAGATTTATTATAGATATTAAATGCAAATGCCTTAATTCAATTTGATTCCATTTGTAATACTAAGAGAAACTAATATGAATTATTTACAAAGTAGAGAATAAAAAAGAACAAAAATTAGGGTCCAGAGAGATGGTTCTGTGGTTAAGAGCGCTGGCTGTTCTTGCAGAAGACCAGGGTTCGAATACTAGCACCCAAATGGTAGCTAACAACTGTAACTCCAATTCCAGGGGACCCAACACCCTTTCTAGCCTCCGTGGGCACTGTACAACACAGGTGCACTTACATACATACAGGCATAACACTCGCACACATAAAATTAATAAATAAACAAAAAAGACCAAAAATTTGTAAATTTTAAGCAAAGCACAGAAACAAACTATATAAAATGGTTTGGGGAGACTGGAGAAATGGCTCAGTGGTTAAGAGCATTCACTGCTCCTACAGAGAACACAGGTTTGATTCCCAGTTATCCACATGGCAGCTTACAAACATCTGCAACTCAAATTCCAGGGATCTAATGCCTTGTTCCAGCCTCTGCAGACACTGTACACACATGTTGCACATATATACATTCAGGCAAAACATTCATACACATAAAATAAAAGTAAATCTTTAAAAAATTAAATAAAGTGGTTTTGATCTCCCAATTATGCACAGAAAGTTAACATTTTACCACATCACTAGGCTATATTGTGAATTCCAGGACACCCTGAGCCATGAAATTGAAGCCTTGCCTCAAAAAAAGGAGACAGAAAACTTACATGCACTCAGCCACAGAGGGAGTCACCAAGAACATAAATGTATGAGGGTGGAGAAACAATCTTGGCAGTCTATGTCTACTTCAGGCAGCTCTATCTGCCCAGCCACCCAGGCACCTTCTCTCCTGACCTCCTCATGCCCTCTAATAATAAGCTAAGCTCATATGCTATTCTACATAATGGTTTCTGCACCTGCCTGCATTCCTTTAGTCCACTGTCACCACTCTTTCAAGTGACTGCAGCCTTCTTTATGACCTTACGACTTCCTTCCAGCAGGTTTCACTAGGCTGACTGCCAAATTACTCAGCTTTGCATACATCTTCCATCTTGGCACATTCCAACTTCAGCACCTTAAATGTCTCCTAAAATTTAAAAAACTGCTCAACATAACCACTCCAGTCTATTTTTCCATAGATAATAGGTGAAAAGAGTTCATGTTTATGAAGTAAGTCAATCTATTTCTTTGTAGCACTCTGTAATCTGCAAATTAGAACTCAAAAATATGGAAGTCACTCTACCCTTAATTCTTCATGTGACCTTCCCAAGCCAGGCCTATAAAACTTGCCTAATTCTTTACAGGTCAGCTCAAGTGTCACCTACCTTCCAGACTTTCCTAGTGCCCTATTCTTCCTCAGATTCACACACATTTGTTCAAATCTCTTAGTAAGCTTATTGTTGTTGTTTTTGTTTTGGTTTGGGTTTTTTTGTTTGTTTTTTTAAGACAGGGACTCCCTGTAGCCAAACTGGTCTGGAACTAGTATGTGGACCAGGATGGCTTCCATCTTTCAGAGATCCTCCTGTCTCTGCCTCCAGAGTACTGGAATTAAAAGGCCTGCACCATCATGTTCAGCATGAATGGATTTCTTTTATTCCAGGAACCTCTCCCATAAAAGCAGACATTTTCCAACTGCATGCAGGCAAAAACTCTGGCAGGCAAAAACTCTGTTAAGGAAGAAAGTTGAGAGGGGCAGTTACAATGTATCGTTACAGACTTTCAAAAAGTTAAAAGAAACCTTGGTCTTGAATGACTCAGATGAAGAGTGAAATAAAACAGTGCATTTTCCACTAAGGGCTTAGATGAAACATTATAAGCAAAAGGATTCCTAAAACCTCATAGCTGGATCTCCATCAACAGAGCTGACTATACTCTACAATACTTATTTCAAAGTCTACACACATACTTTGCATGATATACAACGCAACAAGATCTAAAGCTGGTTTGACTGAAATAAGAGTTCACAAATAGCAGAGTATGTATATGTATATGTATGTGTGTGTGTGTGTGTGCAAGCTTTTTCTCATATTGTAATCCATCCTGTTTGCCTTCTATAACCAAAAATAAGCCAAAATTATGGTATAACACTAAAGAAATTATCACAAAAGTCATTTTTATTAAAAAGTTGAGCATATACATCCATTCAGATATAACCAATATAAGGAAAAAAGCATCTGATTTTGAGAAAACTGCATTTTAGATAGTATTGAGATTCAACAATTCATTTCAAGCTAGATATGATGGTGCATGCTTGTAACTCCACCACTCAGGAGGCTGCCTCAGTAAGACAAGAAGAAGAATCAATTTTATGCTACCCTTTTAAAGATAAGGAACTAGATTGAGGATGGTCAAGCAATTGTCCTTAGATTGGTCTGAAATCCAGGTCTTAACTACTACTCGTTCAGTGTTTATTATTATTGTGTATATGCATGGGGAGGGATGCCAAGGCACATGTGGAGGTCAGAGGACAACTGTGTGCAGTGGTTTCTCTCCTTACACCTTTATGTGGAGTTCCTGAGAATTAATTCAGGTCCTCAGACTTGGCAGCAGTGCCTTTAACCAGTAAGCCATCTCAACAGGCCCCCAGGTATTAGCTTTTGAAAAGCTAATGATTACAGCACTTTCTATAATTTATTTTCCTATAGCTCTTTCCTTAAAAGACTTGAGGAGGTTTCCAAACAACAAATATATTTTGAATTCTTAAAGAATAACCCAGGAATCGAACATAAATTTTGTAATATTTTAAGGAACTTCACAATTTTGCTGCTCTATAACTATCTCAAGAAGGCTTGCTTTCTCTGTGGTTGGACTTGCACTGGGGAATGTCTGGAGACACTAACTTGACACAGTGGGTCTTAATACCCAGGACAGAGTATATGGGTTCCAGTGGGGGGGCTATGAGAGGGGTGTGGTAGGGATGGGGCTATAAAGATGATTCAGATGGTTTAAGATATTCTGTATGAAATACAACAAAATTTAATAAAACAAAAAAGGCTTGCTTTCTCAAAGGTAATTAATAATAGAAAAGATAAATGAAAAGTCATTTTTAAAACACATGTGTACATACACAGATGTACACACATAAACCCACACCCCCCCTTCCAATTTCCATGAGAGGCTAAAACGTTATGCTAGGAAAGCTGCATCTCAGAAAAATACTGCAAGTCTTTTGTTTGTTGGCTGGTTCATTTCTTGATAAGCACCACGTACTTTGGGGCCAAAATAGGTTTCTTTTAATATTCTAAGAAACATTTATAATTGTGATATTAAAAACAAAGTCAAGGTTTAGACAATAAGAGAATGTTCCCTCACTTTCCACCATAACGTACTTAAATGCTCTTTCCCTTCCCCGTCATAACACAACTGTTTCCACTTTTGAGTATTCTCTAGTCCATGTCTACATGTGGTTAATCCTGGAACAAGTAACCTGTAGTTTTGTGCTGCTCTTGGTCACACTACAACACGTACCTTCCTTGCTGTCAGTCTCATGGATAGCTCAATCCCGTATTTTACCAAAGTTTCAGCTGATTCTGTTCAGGTCTTTAAATTTTTTTATTTATGTATTTTTAAAATTTTTATTTATGTATTTTTTAAAGTTTTTTGTGTATGAGTGTTGTGTCTGCATGTGTCATTCAGTGCCCAAGGATATCAGAATATGACATCGAATTCCCTAGAACTGGAGTTAAGGATGGTTGTTAGCCACTGGTGCTGGGAACCAAACCAGGATCCCGTGGAAGAGCAGACAATGCTTTTAACCACTGAGCCAATCTCTCCAGTGCCAATTCTGTTCAGTTCATAAAATATAAAAATTAGATTTCTAGGAATGGGAAATGTAGTTCAGTGGGAAGCACTTGTCTAGCATGTTCTAAAGGCCTGGGTTTGAATCCCAACTGCACAAAGCAATCAAGCAACTAATCAATCAACTGACTAATCAATCAGTATTTCCTCACTTCATTACTATTAGAGATCACTCCTTTGTATAGTCTCTAAATATTCTGAGTTCATCTTATTTAAAGAAAGAGAAATACCAGTATGAAAGAAAAGGGGCTAACCCAGTTGGCTTCAAGTGCCAACCTGACACAACCTAGAGGCATCTGAGAAGGGAGTCCCAAATGAGGGACTGTACATCAGATTGGCCTATGGACATGTCTGTGGAGGACTGTAATTTCTAACCAATATAGGAGGGCCCAGTCCACTGTGGGCAGCACCATTCCCAGGCCACTGTGAACAGGTGGTCCTAGACTGTATAAAGGGATGAAGCATGAGCTCATGAGCAGGCTGGAAAACATCGCCCCTCTATAATTTCTGCTTCAAGTTCCTGCTGGAGTTCCTGCCCTGACTTCCTTCAATGATGGACCATGACCTGGAAGTGTAAGCTAAATAGACTCTTTCCTCCCCCTAAATTGGTTTTGGTCAATGTGCTTTATCACAACAGAGACAGAACTAGAATAGGGGTATTATGTGAGACCAGAGATACTGAAAGAGATACATGATGACATGATGGGGTCTATGAGCCTTGGCAGTGGATTTAGAATGCATTCTAAGCTCAGTAGAAAGCTACTAGAGTGTTTTATTCAGAGATGGAATGATATGATTTTTGAAAAAAAGCACACC